GGGACTGTAATTAAACCCGGAAAACTCGTGAGCATCGGGTGCAAGTGCTTCTGGGAGAAATTATTGTAATTAGCACCCGCGTTGAGAGAGATTAGAAAATTTAACACGTGATTCAATTATTATCTGTCAGAGATCCCCGAAACATTCAATTTTCATTCAGAACTTGAAAAAAAATATATCCCAGGGTCGGGGTTCTTTAATAAATATATAATACTGTAAATATTATACAGTATTGATTTCACATTTATTTACTTGTGATTGCAAGTGAAATAATCGAATCGTTTGATGTCCCACGATTAATTATAAATAAATAAATGAAGAGATAAATACATGAATGATAAATAAAATAAGTTCTCCGCGGGTAATTGCGTAAGTGAAATACATGGACAAGTGGTCGTAGCCCTGAGAAAATAATTTTTTCATTGAACAATTAATTCTAATAGCAAGGTTTCGACCTATCGATTCATCCCTGAGACAAGACTCTATTTTTCATTCTCCGTTGGCTATCCATAGCCTATCGATTGCCCCTTCGTGCCAGGGATGTGAGCCATTCTCTAAACTATTTCAAAATGGCGTCATGAGTCAGAATATCGGGTTTAACGGGATTATCCCACCCATGGGGATCCTGACGCGCCAATATAAAATCCCGATAATATTCGATATTTATTGACGCGTCACTCGTAATTTTTGCCCGGTCTATTTCTCATTTGAGTAAGTGCCGGAGTAATTAGGAAAAATAATCGGCACCTCGGATTGCGATCGGACAGGCGATAGAATTTTAATTAATCACGGGTCTTCACCCTCTCCCATCTCTGTGCGTGACCCGTGGACTCAAGTTCTCTAGAAATTTTTCCCCGATCCATTATTCGTAATATTTTTAATCAGACTTTCCTTGCACGATATATTCCCCCACTTCTCTCACTAATTGGGTGGGGCGAAGAATTGACAAATGGAGTGAATAATCTCTTTTAATTGAGATTGTTTAAAATATGAAATCGACTGAATCTTTCAATAGAATAAAAAATTATGAAAAATTCCTGTAAATTTGCGGTCGTTGCCCCGTTGCCCTCGAACTTTCCACTGTAATTTCCACTTCGCCGAAAATGCCACGTGGATTTCCCCTGGGTTTTCGCTCGCGCAATTTCCGCGAAAAATCGTTACGCAAATTACAACGAAAACAGCATGAGCCAATACAAATGGTAGAAAAAATACCGCCGGCGATAAATAAGCAATCGCAGTTTGAGTAAATTCAAAAAAATTAAAACGGCTTATGCAAGAGTAAATGGAAGTGGGTGGTGAAAAAAGAATAGTAGTTTAAAATGTCTATCTATGTACGTGGAATAATTCAGTAGGTCTTGCCGGAAAAAATAGTGGGTCTAGAGGTGAAGCAGGAAAAGGGTATATGCCTCAGGGAGTGAAGTCAGCATGCGAGTAATGGTGTTTCAAGGCTTGCGTGCGGCGCCGTGCAATGCCTTGGCGTCGCGACGTCTCACCCCCACAACCACCCCCCAACCCCCCTCGCTGGTTAGCTACTAACCATTCCGTATTTTAAACCCATACTAATGCACTCTATGCACTTCAGAACAAAATGCTTTCGCGTGCCGATTTCTTCCGAGTCAAGCGAATCAGCATTTCTTCCCCTCTGGATATTTAAATTCATTTTTGTAATTAATTGACGCTGTCAGAATTAGTGCCATTCACATGTTTATTATGATATTTAGAGTGCACTCGGCGAGTGATTTATTTGGATCGAGTGGAGGATTTGCTTTTGAGGGTGCAGGAAAAAAAATTGACATTTTTTAAATTGTTTAATTTTTATTATGTGTTATTTACATTCAATAGGGATTTTTTTTATTGATTAATGGAAAGGTGGGAGTGAGTTTTAAGTCATTTGTTTTAATCGAGAGAATTTTACGGTATGAGTTTCAAGATTGGAAAAATTTTATTCAATTTAATTTGATTAATCCCCGATGAAAAATTATTTATTTCAAGTGAAACTTGTTTGCACATTGTTTTTCTTTTAAATTGTTATAATATTTCTATATTTTTCATAAATTTTCATACTATAACGATACCTAAAAATTTTTTTCTCGCGTTATTAAATTTTTTCTAATTGGGACAAAAATTTCATGTTCCAGAGAATGAGAAAAAAAGGGTCTTATTCCGTTCTATTCCGTCTTATTCCGTCATTGACCCCGCGTTACCCCCAAAATGTCTTCCTGTGCGATAAAACCCAAACGATCGAACGTGGAAAAACAGGAGTGAGTTTCCACCCCAAGCCCCCCAGAGAAAAGGGAATAAAAAAAAAAGTGGAGAAAAGTTGAAAACAGACGGGGGGAGTCCCGAAAAATCTTGACCTCTCTCGTCTGGCCGGCGTTTGGCGGATCGTAAAGCTTAACGAGCGCTTTTGGAATTGGTCTGGCCTTTCCTTTTGCCTCTCTTTTGGTAAAAGCACCCGTTTGCTTTCATTTTTCTGATGTCGTAGTTCGACCATGATACGGGATTAATGGAGGGGTAAAATAACAGGGTTGAATATACCCATGGCGTCTCGCAGCGAATCCACCAGTGGAAGCACTTTTGTACAACTTTTCAGCGCAATCTCTTTGGAAATTTGTCGAGTTGTAATCACTTTGTTAATCCCCTCGGGTGAGGCTTCAGGGAAAATCTAGTCGTGATTAAATTTTGTAATCAGAAGAGTAAAACAGGTAAAAATAGTACGAGACAGAAGATTCATTATTAAATGTTTAATCCTTAATCCATATCAGACTATTTATATTCAATTCCTTGTGATTACCGGATGATAGTAAGTCATTCCAATGAATTATAAACTATTATCTTTGATATTATTTCCAGTTTCAATCAACTAAATATGAAATCTCAAACAAAACAGCGTACTGGAACAAGTATCCCCTTTCCAATCACCGTTTTCGGTCAATATCTCGAAATTGCACAGAGATAGCGATTTTTTTATATCTTTATTTTTTATCGAAAAAGATAAGAGCTACAAATAAGGTATTAATAAAAATATTCCTATCTCTCTCCAATTCCGAGATATTCGCTGAAAACGCATCTTGACAAGAATGCGGAACAATCCTAGATAAAACATTCCGCATTTGACTGGGTTTTTAACTGAAGAAGACAACAAAAAAATCAAAACGATAAAGAATTGTGGTTTTGTCTTGGAGAAAAATCTATAAGTTTATTTTTATTTGTATTCATTGATCTTGAGAGATTTGAAGATAGAATTCGATGGTATCGGCGCGAATTGGTATTGCAAGCCGTTCTCCCATGAAATTTAATACCCGAGAGGTAAAGAAAATGATGGGGAAAAAAGGTGGGGGATGACAGAGAAGGGTGTAAAAAAAGTGTAGAAGAGGGAAAACCACTGGAAAGTCCCACTTTGTCGATGAGGATCGATATAGACTCACTGACTCATCGGGGGCGCAGCAAAAAGCCACTGTTCATTTTTGTTCCTCTCTTTTCCACTCACCCCTGAGATTCCTCTTACTCCCTTTTTATCAACGTCCCTCAACTCTCCTCATCTAATACTGAAACCATGTTCAGAAAGTTTCGTTAAAGGGGTTATCGCTTTGGGCAATTCTACCTTTTGTCTCTGTACTCTCGTCATTGTTCCACGAGTATTTCTCAAGCAACATCTGCATTCACACTCTTCACATCGGTTCTTCTTTTTTGTCAGACTCATTCTTGGTGAAATTCCCATGTCTAATGCCAGCTGGACTTCTCCAGAAACTTGTTCGAGTTTCACCGGGGCAAGTGTTGCGTAATGGAAGTGCCCGAGACATGAATCTGTTCCATCGCAACGGGGAAAATTCATTCATTATTCGGAATTTCATTTCTTCTTCATTATTTTTACATATTCCGGAGAAAATTATCTGTTAAATTATTAACAGCAATTCCTTCTTTTTTATTTATATTACCTTTTGTCACCAATTTATTCATATATATAACCATTTTTGATCCTTTTACCTGCTAATACATAATCAATTAATAATTGCCACTCGAAAAAACGATTTATTCAAATAAAAATTCCAAGAATCACAATATTTTTTTATTAATATATAAAAATAAGAGAAGGAAAAACGAACAATAAAAAATATTCTAGCACCGCATACAAATGGATACGCGTGGGAAAAAAAGGGAAATAACGAATTGGCGATAAAATTCCGTCAATCTACACACGAGGATTAATAAAAAAAAATCTGACAAAATATTATTTAAACATTCAAGCTTCATAACGCCTATTTGTGACACATACCACCCACGAATGTCGCTTTTGCATGAGTCTCATCGTGGGCTGTTGGTGACGGTCTAAAATTCCATCAACATGACAGTTTACACAGGAAATAATGGACGTATTTTACCGATGTCTGTGCAACATCCTTCTTCGCGGTCTGCGGCTCTTGAGGAGTTTGAGTGAGTGTGCGGTCCAACGTTGGATTTATCTCTGGCATATTCGTATCACCGCAAAATGTTACAATCCCATGTACATGAAAATATCTCTATATCCACACGCTTCAGTCATCACCGCTTTCAACCCCCATACATTTTGGCGAATATTTTCAGCAGCACCTCAGCACCAGCTCTCCCAACAAACCGACAAAATTCAAAACCAAACGAGAATATTATTAATTATTCCATTATAACATCTGCCCACGATATTTCAATTAAATTAAGTAAACCCATTGCAATCATAATATTAATATTGAATAATTAAAAAACCCTGTTTTGTTATTTCCTTTCAAAGACTGTGAATTTATTCACATTTATTTAGAGGATTTGTGGCTGCATCGCATTTTAATTATAATTAATAATATTAATATGGAAATGAAGTTTCTGTTATTAGTATTATTTTAGGATGGAATTTTATCATTGATTTAATTGAACGATTTCTGTGGGCGCGAGTACTTGATGCGGTGTTAATTAATTGTAATTGTAATTTAACGTAATTGAATGGATGTTTTTTTTTTTAATTCTTGCAGAGAACGGGCTCTTGTCCTTCGAAAATCCCAATTATCATCTGGAGTCAGCGAGATTCGATGACGCCCTCAATAGCAATGGCACCGGGAATTCACTGTTCGAGGAATTCTATCAGGAATTGGTGGTAGGTGGTGGTAGAAGTGGTGAAGTTACAGGTGGAAGTGGTGGACGACATGCTCGCAGAACCTACGCAGCACTTGACCTGGGTAGCATGGGTGTTGATGTAACACAAGGACCTCTGACACAGGAGCCAGTCGGTGCAGAGACACCAGACAATACAGCCAATCACAATCTCGGGTGAGTGACACTTTCATTCAGTTATTCTTCCATTTTTATCAATTGAAATTGGAAAATTATTCATTTGGAGTTGAATTCATTTCAATCATATAAAATAAATTATTCAACTGCACGAGAACTGATCAATTATTCATTATTGTTATTATCATTTTATTTATTTTTATTGATGCAAACGTGAAAATTATTCATTTAAAATTAAATTTCATTGAATTATCATTATTTAAAAAAATTAATTATTGATAAGCAATCAAAGAAAATTGATCAGCCAATTATTTATTGCTTAATGTTTTTTTTGTAAGCTCATGATCTCGAATTGTTTTATTGATGTCAAATTATAAATTGCAATGAGACAAAGATTAATTAATCCCCTGAAATTAAATTTTCTGCGAGAGGATTAAATTTTTCTTTTATTCATCCAAATAAATAATTCTCCTCAAGTATATTTCGAAAAAACGTGCAGTTATAAACTCAGCCCCATGAATCTCCTCGGTATAAAAAAAAATCGTGAACCCAGTCGCAATCAAACGCATTGACAAGGTGTCAGAGCTTTTCAAGTGACTCGATTAAAATTCCCCGTAAATGTCCTCGGGTTTAAATTACGTTCGAGACGTCACGAACGTTCGGATGCCGACGTTTTCCCGGTCGTAGATTCGATATCGCATTATTCCCATTCGTCTAACTAGTCTCCATCGGCGGAGAGCTTGAAAAAAAAAATCTACAAGAGACGATTCGAGCATGAAAATCCAATTAAGGAGATACTTGTCGGTTTTCTCAGTCCGTCCGATGGATTCTGGGGCTCGAGAGTGCGATGGACCTGATTCAAACTCGTTTTCGGATTTTCGGGGTGCATCAAAGGATGCAATAACGAGATAGTCCCCTTCTCAGAATGTTATTCCGTTGAAATTAAGGGTATGATTAACCTCGTTACGGGGATTACCGGGGAATGTCGGTGAACGGATTAATATACAAAAAATTGAGTTCGTTACTCGTTAGTGCAAGATTTTTTTTAAGTAGACAATTCCCTGGACAATCAGCACTAACTCATTTTTCTTTCATTACTTTTTCTTATCAATACGCCACAAAAAGCAATCCATTCGAATAAAGTACATACTTTATAATTAAATATGAATGACTTGAGTATTAAAGGGAATGCCCCAGAATAATGTACAGAGTACAGTTTAAAAATGTATCCTAAATATATAAATATTGAGTATATTAATCATACCTTAGCCTGTTAACATACTAGTATGATATATGTGAGTCAAGTATAAAGTCAAGTATACTTGGTTGAAGTCTACATATTTTTCGTGTATTCTTTGGAGTCTGATGAGTGATTCATCAACGTTAAATAAAGGTTTGGGTGGGGCAGGGACTGGAAGATACGTGGGATGAGGGTTTACACAATGTCAGAGTGTGTGCTAGAAGCTCAACGGCGTAATTCCTCTGCAATGTACGCCTACATAACACAGTCTTATGTAATGGTATTATTAAATCGTGTAGTGTACATAGATGGCGAAATATCCATTTTTTTTTGCACGTGGATAAGAGTTCTTTATTTCGTTTTTCATGTTAGAAAAATATTATTATTGAATTTTTGGATCCTTCTTATTAATTTATTTGTATTCATTATTAATTTATTTATCTGTGTTAATTTATTGGTTAATCTACCTGTATCAATAAAAATACAAAAATGGCGAATATGGAAAATAGTTTCCTAGAAATTAATGAAAGACAGTTTTTGACAAAGAATTTAATTGAATCGAAGGGAAAGATTTTTAGACGTATTTTTTTTTTGTTTAAATTCCGGAAGTGCTACCCCGCGGAAAAAGTTTGTGAATGAGCGTATGCGCGTAATTTGAAAGATGAAAAGAAGGAATTTATAGTTTTTTTTGTCAATTCCCTCTGTCTATTTTGAAACCTTCCCCTCGAAAATTGAAGTGCAATGAAAGAAAATATTAGCGGTAGATACACAAGTTTTATCCCGGGGAGAGCCAATATTATTTTCTTACGATTCTTTAGAAGAACTTTTTCATGTCACCAGTAAAGTCGGCTGATTCTCCCGACCCACCTTGTGGACTTGAGCCCAAAGTATCAATCCGCGACAATTCAATAAAACTCGTCTCCCCAAGTTTTTTCGGATTAAAGTACGAGTCCCTTTTTACCGGCAGTAAGTCCAGCGAATTCCCCGGGTCATTAAAGCTGAAAGAGAAAATGAGAGACGAACCGGATGAATTCCAAGCCCTAGGCGCAATGAATTCACTTTATTTTTTATTTCATTCATTTTCTCCACTTCATCTCGTTGCAGTGGAAATTTAAAGATTTCCCTCCAGATCAGACGGGATATATTAAACGATAAGTGCGATGGGGAGAGAAAAAGCTCAGAAGATTGAACTCAATCTAAAGTTACCACAAAGTTGGCCGTCGGCTATCTTTCATACTCGTGTGTCAATTCTTGGACGTCAACCCTCGTAACATTCAGGACTTTACCACCTTTTTATTTTATCGTTTCCTCTTGCCACTACTCAAGCTTCTCTCATTTCACGGTGTTTTAATCCCTCCGAGCTCTCTTCAATTTTAATTTATAAATTCAATCAACGAAATCGTTAACTTTCCATTGTAAAGAATAGCAATCAACAACGAAAGTATTTCCGTAATAGTGAATGCAATTAATTAAGAAAGTTGAAAACAATTAATTAACAAATATTTAAAATAATAGCTTTAGCGCTGAAAATTAATCATAATATAATTGAATTGAAGAGATATGTTATATAATTAAACAAGATAAAGTACAATAAAATAAAAACGAAAAAGTATTCTCGAACGAATGCGCGTGCGGAGCAATTGTCCTTTTTTTTTATTTCTGTTAACAATCGTCCCATTCCGCCCGCTCAAATTACTTATTACCAAAAAATCACCATTACCGTTGTAAAGTGACATATTTACATAATAATAGCTAAAATTTATCAATTGATTTAGTAGATTAAATATCATTTCAACAGAATAAATTCCGTAATTAAACATATAGGGGCATAATAAATTTTTCAAGTATAAAATTTGAATGTAACAAGTTACAGTTCATTACCCGCCGGTAATTTCCATTTAATTCGGTAAACTCCAATATTCCGGATAATACAGGAACAATAATAATGCAATAAACGTTAGGCGCGTTGTTTCCAGAAGAAGCGGTTGATGTTTAGTTGTTGAGTGTAGTTGGCACATGCGGTACCTTGTGGTTAAGTTTTGTGCATTTGGATAAGCGTCTGGGTGATTCCTGGAGGCAGGAAGGATAAAACCATAAGGAAAGACGATGGGCTATTTGCCTGGTACCTGGTGATGCCGAGGGTGGTATTGAGTGAACGAAGAAAAGGGGTTGCCAGTGAAAATCACCCAGAGGGGTCTTTCTTCTCTGCTATATGGAGGGACCAAGGACTCTGAGGATAGGTATCTTAACGATCGTGTCTGAGGCGAGATACATTGGGCGTGAAATAAGGTGCCTTTGTTAGCAAAGACTCCAGGAGGTGGAGGCAGCTTTTCCTTCGGGATATCCACAGCCACAACTGTACAACCCCTTAACGCCCAGCCTCTCTTTCACGCTTCGAGCTTTCGTATACACCTTTTATATTTTTATTTCGTACCCTTTATTCCCACTTTTTCTCGTCCTTGTGGTGACGGAATTCATCGCAACGTAAATTGCAAAAGAACATTTTTTTTTCACGAAATAGCAATTAAATAACTTTGTGGAATATACAAATTAATTAATTAATAGGAAATTTATGTAATTTGTGTGGATGTTAATTAAGTCATTTTTGAGCAATTAAACAATTTTTTATTTAAAATGATAATTGATTTTCTGATGAAGCTTTAAAGTGATTTTTTAATACGATGGAATTTTCGATAGATTAGGAAATTGCTTGGATTTTTCCAAATTTTCCAAGGTTTTGGTTTCGAAGGTACCGTATATAGATCTAAAAATTGAGAATTACTCAAATATTTAGAGAATTAATTACTTAATATTCATGAAAACTCTGTCGTTGACTTTTCAATAGGACAGCTTTAACTTCCAATAACGCAAATTCTCATTTACCATAAATATAATAATGGGTGTTACACATGAAGGTAGAAAGATTCCTCTGGTGAAAGCTCGGGATGGAAAAGGGAGTGAATTTGAATAAAAAATGCAATTTCATCTTCTTCAATCGCAAATCAATTTATGCGAAATAAAGTCGTGTATTCGCTGCGAATGTTTTCCGACAACTCACCATTGATTTTTTTTTATACCGAAGAATAAAGTTAAAGCGCAGGAGAGAAAAATGTGACGCTTCGGTCATTGAAGAAAACCCGTGTGCGGAACACGTGTGCGACACCCTTGTGAAAGCCAATCTCGTGGGAATACGAATTACAAATTTTCATTTTTTCGTCTCCTTGGTATGTGTAACCAGGGGCATAACCCGCCAACAGGAATACAAATATCATTCTTTTTTCGGGGTGTATGTCCCAGAGTATTGTCTTCCATATTGGCTATTTGGGGGATGATGGAGAGCATGAGTCGTTCCGGGAAGACGTGACAGGCATTTATTCTTAATGATGAGTACTCCTGCCATTTTGTAACAAGAATTAAGATAATACGAGTAAATGGGGGGTCCATATCGATGAAAAGTCACGGGAAATGCAGAAAAAATCACTACTCCGATCATCAATTATCTGGGAAGTCCATTTAATGATCCAGAATTAACTGGCGACTGATGCTACACTTCGGCCAGTGCCTTCGGCCTTCGGGAGTTTTCGTTTATTAACTTAGTTAATTAAATTGACCGAGATGGGACCTACGAAATTTTACTCGACTAAACATTAATATTTGGGATTAGCTCGCAATGCTCCTTACTGACCAGTTCGGTCATTTTTACCGCGACAGTCGTATGAGTTTTTCATGAAAAATTCTCCCAGTGACTTTTACAAAACCGTAACGACCCGCGACCTCGGATTTTCTGTGAAAATAAAAG